ATTGTATAGAACCGATAAAAAGTCACAGATTCTCTTTGATTTGCGATTTCCAATTTGACAAGTGTGATCATGGGCAATGTAACCGGTGGAAATCGCCGAGATCATCCGTCGCCGTCGTACCCAAACCCTAATCCTCCGCTTCACGCTCCTCCGTCGCAGTATCAGGGCTATTATCCGCCGCTTCCCTCGCCGTACCACCGGCAAGGTCCTTGGGTTCCCAATAGAGCGACGCCGTCTCCGTTTTCGCCGGACGTTGAGCAGCAGAAGACGGTGACTATAAGGAATCACATCAATTTGAAGAATAATACTTTAAGATTTGTGCCTGATGAAGATAACCCTGGCAAGTTTTTGCTCTCCTTCACTTTTGATGCTACTGTTTCTGGAAGGTAAACGATTTCATATGTTTTATACACTATTCTAGAGTTTATAGATTGGAATTGTGGATGAAGAAGAAAACGTATTGGGTTTACTTCAATGATGATTCTTGATTTTGTTCTTATGGTACTTTGAATCAACAGTATCACTGTTATGTTCTTTGCGAGAGAAGGTCAAGAGTGTAACCTGAATGCAACAAAGGAGGATCTTTTTCCGACCAGTACAGTTAGTTTTCCGAGAGGTGTTGGACAGAAATTCAAGCAGGCTTGTGGAACAGGGATCGATTTCTCTGCTTTGTCAGAGGCAGAGTTGGTTGAGGCAAATGAGACAGGTGTGTATCATGTGGCAGTGAAAGCAGAGGCATCAGAAGATGATCCCGAGTTTATAACGCCAAACCGTCAGTTAACTCATGCGGTTTTAGAGAAAGACAAGGGCGAGGAGTACAAGGCGAGAGTCGTGAAGCAGATACTGTGGGTGAATGGGAATAAGTACGTTCTTCAGGAGATTTATGGAATTGGCAATACAGTTGAGGTTAATGGAGAGGATGAGAACGAGACTGGGAAAGAATGCGTCATCTGCTTAACTGAGCCACGAGACACGACTGTTTTCCCTTGCAGGCACATGGTAAGCATATGAATATGGCTTTGTAATTTACTTGAGCTACCTTGGAGAAAATTTGAGAAAGAAGATGGCTTTTAATTCCTGATTGATTACTAACTTACAATTGTTTATGGTGATCCGTAGTGTATGTGTAACGGTTGTGCAAAGCTTTTGAGGTTTCAGACAAACCTTTGTCCCATCTGTAGACAACCAGTGGATAGGCTTTTGGAGATAACGGTCAACGCCAGTGGCACAAACCAGTGAGCTTTTAGTCACTTTGCTCTTCCCCTGTTTGTATAGAGTCAACTTCTCAATGTTCTTGCTTGTGGGTATATATGCGAGATTGGTTCTCAAGTTACTAATTAAATGACAGTCTAATTCGTTTCGTTCAAAAAGTATTTAGTAAATCATCAAGCTACTATGGTATGAGTTAGGTCTTGTGATATGTTGTATATAAACAGAGCATCAAAACCACTAGAAACACACAACATAGCAAACTTCATTGAAGCACATACACACAAAACAAAGTTCATAGTCGCGACTGTTTATTTTACGTAGAACCGTAGAAGCGCCCAGTCGCTGGAGCAAACTTCTGCGGCTTTGCTCTATACATGAGCAAAGATTTTAGCAACAGAGAAAAACAAAACAACACAACTTACCAAATAAACATAGTTATAGTTTTTAAGCTTCATTTGCGGAGCGCTTCGTCTTCCCACCATTGATGAACAAAGACGCCACTGTCTCTGAGGCTCTTAACGATACCAGTGCAGTCTCTATACCCTGTGCAGTGAAGAAACAGTTCATCAACTGCGCAGATCGCTCCAGTCTTTATCAGCTCTGAGAGAAACTTCAGCTCGGCGTCACTTGTGTTCATCTTCAGAACCACGAAATCAGCGAAGCTCGCTGTTTCCTTGAACCATGCTAGAAAATCAAAGCTATCATCTTCTACAAAGGGTTCTTCCTGGTCTTCAGGACCGGCAATTGTTACTTTAGCTGCTGCGAGTCCCGGATGATAGATGAAGGTCACACCAGGACTTTTGACATACGAAGTCAAGATCGATGTGTTGTGATGCACAAAATAGCTATTAAACGCTTTCCTGTCGATTGGGTATGATGGGAAGAACCAATTCGATCTCGCTTTTAGATGATCTGCTGCCCCGATATCAATATAAACCAGCCTCTTCCTAGAAGAAAGATCAATGAACTCAGGCAAGTAATGGATCCTTCTCTCAAAATCCGAACGTCTTTCCTCGAGAAGAGGCTCTAGTAAGCCAATGTATTGTTGATTGTTGACAACAGATGAGCAATCAGCTGGAAGGTCATGACTTTCATCCAAACGGAAACTATCTTCTCCGTATCTCCTGAATACAACCAAAACCTGGTCACCCAAGGAAGCAACATGAACAACATTCGAATTCTTCAGCAACGAGGAAACAGGCGAAACCGATCTGACCAACTCGTTTGAATCAGACCCACTAGCAGTACCAACAAGCATAGCTCCGGTTCCACCGGGAATAAGGATACGCTCGATCTCATAAACAAGCGAAGCAGGGACAGAAACTGTCTCAAGATCCATNGAAAACACGAAACCAAAAGAAGCATCATCATAATGTAGCTCGCTCGTGAACTTCCTATGCTTGAAAGCGAAAACCGGTGGCATATAAGCCACACTAGCATCAGAGATCCCTTGCGAATTCATCGCAAGAACAGCCGNAACCGATCTCCGGCCAATGCAGAGAGCTTTCACATCGTTACTCAACAGATTCATACCTATAAGCTCTCTGACAACTTCAGTAGTCAGATAAATGTTCTCTTTACATTTCTCTGATTCCAAATAGTTCCAAACTGGTTTCAGGAATCTACTGGACAACAATCCGTTACCTGATAAGAGAAACGGACCCAGAAACGCGAAATTCACTGCGCACTCATCGACCTTACACGCGTGGTGGTGATGATTCTCTCCTCCGTATACTCCGCCGAGGTTTCGCAGAACGGATACAACAGAGAAAGCGCAGACGATTACGAGGGCGCGTAAGATCACGCGCCGCCGGAATGAGCTATGCATTAGCTTCAGCTTCAACAGCTCAACCCCCATTGGCGAGATTAAACAAGATCGGAACTTTTTTTAACAAGATCGGAACTTTTTTTACTAGAGATTTCAAAAAGCAGGCAAATTTTTTGGGGAGGAAGAAGAGGGAGAGAGAGATTTAGCGAGTGCAAAACCTGGAGGAGGTATGGTTTCCACCCACGAGGAGAACTATTGAATTTTGGAACCCTAACCAGACCCTTCTCGGTGCACGTCTTAGCATCAGAACGACCCACTTCAGATCCATTTTTGTTTTTACCCAATCGATCGAACCATTCGCGATTTCCTCGAGATCTAGCTACATACTACGATGATGAAATGAAATGGGTTTTTCTCCTTCGCAAGAAATTCGTAATTCGATTTAGGAATTAGGGTTTTGGGAAGGTAAAGGTGGGAATCTGAGGAGGTTGGAATGGAAGGCGA